GTCTTTTCCAACAAACTAAGAATGGCTTGCGAACGAAATTTAAGGTGGCTCCCTACAGTTCTCTAAAATTCTAGGTATTTTGAGTATCGTTCGCTTTGAACCGAATTTATATTAGATACACTTAAGACAAGGCAATATGATCATTTCCAGGAAAGTTCAGAAGCTGTGTGCTGTCCATTTATGAACAAATTAAAACAGTGTTTGTGTTGCCATGGCAACCATGACGTGTAATCTTTTGCACTTTTATTGCCTAATTTCACAATAAATGGACAATATCTATATTTTCCTTCGGTGAATTTTTCTGAAATTATTTTTGAAGATTTATGGTCCATAAAGAAAAAACATATCAAAATTTGAAGGGAATTTATAAATAAGTTTTCGAGATATTCGTGAATGACGGTTACAGAAAAAGTTATCTATAGAATTTCTTAAAATTTGGATATGTTGTACCATTCCTCTTGTTTAACAAAAATACAAAGTTTAAAAAAATTTCACCGAAGAAAACACGAGAAAATCATCGCTAAAATCGGCGTGGCCAGCATGAAAAAAAATCGACTCGACATGAGCACGATCTGCGCATGCGTGTAAATTGTAGCGTGTGATTTATAGTGATTTCAACTTTTTGGCTTACAATACATAAGAAAACAGATATTTCTGACTTGTTTGACATGAAAATAAAATATTAATCTTGAAAATACTAATAAAAACACTATTATAGGCATTGTATTAAATCCAGTGTTAGTTTACATTTGTTTTTGTTGTTAAAGTCGGTGTGAAAACTTTTCAAAACATCGAACTACAAGTTTAACTTTTCATATAAAACAACTCATAACTGTTTTATTTGATTTAGCAGATAAAACGATACCTGTAAATTGAATTGATTGACAGAACTTATATAAGTTTCGGCAACAGTTCACTACTGTTCAAGAGTTAATAGAAGACAGTGTCATTTCAGTTTGACAGCTCGCAAAACAACAAGTTGAAAATTTTGAGCAATATGAAAGACAATACTGAACGTAAATACGTAAAAACACACTAAAAGATAGGTTAAACTACTTAATAACATACGTACTGTTCGAATTCAGAAAAAAATAGGATTATAATGAAAAACTGGGGTTTTCTTTGTAGATAAAAAACGCCAAAAAACTTCCCACGGCTTGTTTCAATATTTTTGCAGAACAGTAAACACGATTCCACGCGCAGGTCGCGAGAATGAAGTCTGATCTATATAAATCGTATTTAAACTGTACTAACTGTAGGGAGCCACCTTAAAAGCTTTTTAAAATCATATTTTGAGTTAATAGATGGAAATTTGTTGGGTTTGTAATTAATGTACAAAATTTCGGACAATTTGCATTAGTTTAAGTCCTTTAACTATTCATTTTTTCCTAAAAAATCAGCCTTTCGCATGCTTAATTGATGCATTTACTTAATTTGCATAATTCTGACATATGCAAATTAGACAAATGCATTAATTAGCATCGATGCAAATAGCTGATTTTCAGTTAGGAAAAAGTGTAAGTTTGCGTGAATAGTTAAAGGGCTTAAACTAAAGCAAATTGTCTGACATTTTGTACAGTATTTAAAAACCCAACAGATTTTCCATCTATTAACTCAAAATATGATTAAAGCTTTTAAATTTCGTGCGCAAGCCATTTTTGGTTTGTTGGAAAAGACACACCCCCCTGGTTCACAAAATTTGAGTTCGAGAATTTTTTTTCATTATTCTACATTATAAGTACCCAAAGAACCTACATTTATCAAAAACTGGATATTAATAGCTGTTTTGCGAAATTGAGAGCAATTTCAAGTCTGTTCAGTTTTTTTTTATACACCCTGTAGAACGTCACGGAATGGTGCTTTTTTCGAAAAAAATACGAGAGAATGCATCATAAACATCCTATTTTGTTCCGCACGTATTGTTTAATCATTCTAGTTATAGTAAATCTTTTTTATTGACAAGGTTGTTTTTCTTCTATTTCGCTAAATTTTGGACGTACTGATTTTCCACAAATACTTTCGTCGTCATAACGAACCAACAAACTAACCGCAAGCATTGTTAACCACTTCAGTACTACAAGTATTCTGCACCAAAACATAGATTTTAAAACAAATTGAACTAGCTAAGTTTTAATAACAAGTGTTTAACACAGCGCGGCGCGTTTGAAATGTATCAATGGCTTTTGGTAGTTTTGTATTTGTCATTTAAAACCCCCCGTTTTCTTACTTCCCAAACGGCTAACGTGCAAGACGGGAAAAATCTTTATTAACAATAATAAAATTTGTAATAAATAAACAAATCCGTGCTCCATGCTCCATGTTTTACTAATAGCCATAAGTTACTGGATAACATGGAGTGCTGTGAGATTTGTAAACAACGGAGCACAGCAGTTTCTTGCCCTCCAGATATTGTTATGCAAAGTTTTCAAGGCCAACTGCAAAGAGTCTATTGAGATGTGATATCCAAACAATATTATGTCGTCAAATTCAAATGCACCGTTGGTGATATGATTCGCACAAACCACGCCTGACGATCACGCAAACAGGATGGATAATTTTTCTAAAGAGTAATCAGGTTTTTTCATTTAAGTTGGCTCGCTACACTTTTTTAAAAATTAAAGATTTTCTGATTTGGATATGAATTTCTGGAGAATTATTTGTTTAAAAACAAAGAGTATCTGACTTGTATAACACGGCAATAAATAGGGAGTTCCAAATTTTTAAAAAAACTATTACTACGGATATTTTATGTGTAAGTTATTTAACTCAAAAAAACTTCGTAATTTAACTAAAAAAAATAAAGTTATTTCTTTTGGTATTTTGAATTGTTTTCATGATTTTAAAAAAAATCTATCATGGGGAAAAAAATATTACGAATTTTCACATTTTCATATCTTGAAAAATTTCGGCATGACAGAATTTTTTAAAATTAGAAAAATAATTCAAAATACCAATCATCCAAGATCATCCAATAAAGCAAAAAACTCAGCTTTGTAGACACTTTTAAAAAATTCGCCAGTGTAGATTTTTTTAATTGCAATATATCACGTTGTTTTGAATTTAAAAAATCTACACTGGTGATTTTTTTAAAAGTTGACTAAGTAATTACTTTCACTATTAGAAAACATTTGACAAAATAAAAAGTGGGGGTCACCGTTCTTTTTCCGAGTTAAATTAGATTAAAGCCAGAAAATTGGCCATATTGAGATATCATAGTTACTAGAGCAACGGAAGTGGCGTCATATTTGGTAAAAATATACTCTTCAGATAGTAATTTTTACAACTCAATACTATTTGCTTCTCAACAGGTCACAATTGTTAAAAAATTCCACCCTAAATTATCAATATCATTGAGGGGTGAGGAGGGTTTGGAAAATCAGGACAGACTCGGTGGGGGGGGGTAGCAATCTGGATGTCCGAATTTTTAAAAAAAATTCAAAAACAAATTTCTTTTTGCCTATATATTGAACTCTCCTTCTCATTGTGAAATTGGCATTTTGAACATTTCATAATGTTATCTAATTCTTTCCTTCAATGATGAATTCAACAGTGCATGTCGTGAAATAATAGCTTTCTGCACATGCATTTATAACTCTTTTTGTGTAATATTGTTTGTGGAAACACTTTTTGTATTCAAATTTTTTTATAAAAAAGTGCTAAAAGTAAGAAAAGTTGACTCTTGACATATACAAGGTTGCGTGAGTCGGGGAGTTCTCTAATACGGACAATGCCGGACAAGGGGGGAGGAGTCTGAAAATCCATCATTTCGCTGGACATCCTTTGTGAATGACTCCTAACAATTGTTCAAAAATTGCGTCCTAAATCGTAAATTTTCCAGTAACAACTGAACCAGTATGCAGCCACATATATTAATCTATCACTTTTTAAATATTTCAGAAGACTTATTGCTGCGGCCCAACTGGATAATATAAGGCGAATGTATTCATCGGCAAGTATAGATGCAGAAAGGGGGGAGGGGCGGCTGCTTTCGCATGTTTTCGTAGCGCAATAAGCGGAACCTACATGCATGCGTTTTCACAGAAGTAACAGGGGGTCAACTCTAAAACAAAACACAGTTATCAGAGTGTGTCGATTGTTCGTTTTATGCAAATACATGGAATTTCGTATCATTTTATCACTCCAGTACAGCATAAGCATCAATACATTTGAGGTTGACCTCCCGTCAGATTCATTGCATAATGCCTTAGTGAAACCCAAGAATACAGTATATAGCACGAACTTAACGTACAAAACATATTCAATTTTATTCAAAGATTATTGCAAATCTTCTAGTACAAATATAGATTTGTATTCTAAGTAAATGAAGTTCGATTTTAATTATCGCGTTGTTATTGTAGTATTTAATTAACGTTCCACACGTTTAAGGTGATTCGTTCAGGGAAGCAATTTTCCGTAAAACGCATTCGATAGCTCGGTCTCTTCCACACCACAGTAAAAATCATTTGCGGCTGCAATGAACTCTTCACGACTAATTTCGCCGCCGCCATTCGAATCAATGGTGTCAAAGGAATGCTTAATTTCTTCATCACTCATATCGTGCCCTATAACTTTGAAGTAGACCTTGAATTCCTCGATAGATATGTGTCCATCGCTGTTTGTATCGATGCAATCAAACAGCAGGTCATCAATGTTTTCAGTCGGTTGTTCAGGGGACAAACGGCGGTCACTGCCGATCTTAGCTGCTTCTTCCAACGGAATTTTCACGCCAGGTTTTAAACCAATGTAATCAGCAATACCCAAGAATGCTGCATATATTTCTTCACTCTTCTCCTTGGTGATCCCACTTGCGTGTTCCACCAATCTTTTGGCCATGAGTTCAAAATCCTCGCGTGAGAGGTAACCATCGTGGTTTATATCCATTCTATGACACCGTGTTCGCAATTTTCTCAAATGGTAAGCTTTCTGCTGTTCTGTAACGCTCATGTTCATGAAGTGCAGCGATATCTTCAACGGAAATTAAAAATCAATTAGCTATATATAGTTTTCAAGCAATCCGAGATCGCATGTTAGTAAGTGTTTATTTTCAAAGTTTTATAAGAAAGCAAATAGCGGAAACGCGTCATGAAATTGTATCTGTAAGCAATTATCGTATTCGCTGATCTATATCATTGCACAAGCTATCCTGGTGATCACTATTATTGAACTGCATTTTTCTACACCATATTTCGGTGATTTTAGTCATAGTCTTGCTTAATTATCTGGTCTTCTACATCATATCTTGGGCAGAAATACAGATTCATTAAACTCTTTAAATTAAATTAAATTAAAGAAATGTTGGAAATGCACAATTACTTCACAAGTCAGTCAAGGAAGCTGGCATACAGTAGGTAATCAAGAATTGTGTGCTACACCATTAATAAAAATATGTGCTAAGAATATAATTTATAAGATTTGTCAGGTACAAGTTGTATTCGACGCCGATTTTAAGAATTATTTAGCTATTATAATATTGTATCATTTAAATCTCATTGTTTTGGTATGTTAAATTCCATAGCTTTTTGTCTGGTACTCGATCCCTGTTAGATTTCAGACGTTCCCTTGTTCTAAATATTTCAGCCTGGTTTTGAGGTACAGAACCTGTGAATTAAAACTTATACTGTGTGAATAATCGTGGCAACACTTTCTGCACCTTTAAACAGCTTAATTTATTGAATGATATTATTCCTTTTAGTAGTGTTCTCATAAGAATTAAGCCGACACTTCTTTCAGATAATTATTTTAACAAAGAATGGCAAATTGAAAGATGTTTTCGTTAACGTTCGATAAAATTGGCGGTGAGGATTATTCTAGGTACGGAGCAATATGGCGTTAGTTATCGATTCGGCTCCTTGCGAGTAAGGCCTGTTTTATACGTCGAATTTTGGTCGCGTCGAATGCAATTAATACAATAGATAATGAGATGATAAACCTCATTAAGCTTCATTATCTATTGTTTGAATTGCATTCGACGCGACTGAAATTCGACGTATAAAACAGGTCTAAGCGATATGATTTGTACTCTGCATGCATATAATTAAGTTCTTAGACCGTATTGTTAACATTTTTGTTCACGTTGTTAATAGAAATAATGGGTATGCAGGTTATTTATTGACGAGGCAGTCGCCTGTTAATCAAAAGAAAAATTGGAAGTAAATAACTAAAGGAATTAAAAGTGAAACCAAAAATATATTTCTACGAAGTATCTTCCTGCATGGTAAGGAAGATACAATAATTTTTATAATCATATCAAATTAAGATTGCATGAGGGAATGGAACCTCTATACAAAAACTGTTGTTGTCTTAAATTGTGTTTATTTTTTCAGTTAATGTCCTCACCGTTTAATAAATATATATATATTGAGATATTTAATATAACGACACGCATAAGAACACAAGGTTTGTGGGGTTATGGAAGTGTGGGACAACTGCTCTATATATTGTATTTTTTTATCTGCGAAGAGCTGGGTGCTGAGCGGTTCCCAGGGCATATACTCGTATTGAAAAGCTGGATCTTGGGGAAAGTCGATTAGGACATATACTGATTTGCAGCTGGGTCCTAATCTGCCCAAGACATATACTTTTACGCATTTTGAGCTGGGTCCTGAGTCGGCTAGAACATATACTCCATTTAGAGCTGGATCCTATAGCCTGCCCTGCAAGACATATACTCTGAGCTGGGCCCTGGGAAAAAATGATCAGGGAAATATTTCTTAGAACACTGATCTGGCTCAGCACATATACTCATATGCAGAAATAGAGTGATTTTTGTAAATGGGAATTGGCTGTATGCCAGGTTGCCAAATTCCGTAAAGAAAACGTGAGGTCTATGGTAAAATTGCGACCTCATACTAGAGCAATTGCCTCAAACACTTCATTCTTTATTTATTATTTTATTAAATACATAATAACATTGATATAACAGTCTAGTGAATGTCGATAAGCGTTTAATATCCAACGAAGATAATATTTATATATAGATCTAAATATAGTTCAATGTTCCCGAGAATTCAATATCACTCCCTAGGCGGGCCCATAACATACCGTAATTACTTCCAAGTACCATCTTATACCATCTCGTTACATCAGGGAAAAGGCTGGAGCATGGGGTGGTTGGTGGGTGACTTTTTTAAATCAGTCTTTACAGCTCGCAATCCAAGTAAGAATGATATAGGCAGATAAAGCTAACTCGGATATCTGCCCATGTTTAACTATAGTTTCATTGTTATAGTTATGAATAGGTCAAACATAGTAGTTTGGACAATAATTAATAAACGATACTGGGTGCAGTAGCCTACGGGTTTGGCAAGCAAATAATGAAAGTCTGTGATAGAGTCTTCCTTTGTTTAGACAATAGTAGCTTTCGAGTTGGCTTAACATAGACATTTTAAATCTATAATTTTTAGGTCTAGCGCATTGAGTATCGTCCATTAACAATAATTTGTACTCGTAAAAATTACCATTATTTAAAATATGCTTGATAATTTTGACCAATTTTATTGTCTGTGTTCCCAAAAAAAGTATTACTTGTACCCGCTGGAGTCAGTGTTAGCATTTAGCAGATCTAAAGTCCAGCAGATTTCTTTAAAAAATGTGGGATTTTGGTTAAAAGCATGGTTTTCTCAATATCAATTGTTTTAAGTGTACCAAATCAAACTTGATATACGGCCACGTCAAAAGAGCCTTCTTTCAGGTGATATTAAGCGATCCTTTTTTATGACAAATACCGCTGACCAGTAAAATTCTGTTTAATGTAAAATACTTTTAAAAACAGTTTAAAACCGATTTTATCTGTAGTTTTGCTAAAAGAGACTT